TTTACCAATGATGTATAGGTTATACTGATATGACTCACACATTCTCCATTTTCTGTTCAGGGGACTGAAAAAAACCCCACCCACTGCACCAAAGCCACAACTTGCATATTGTTCTCAGTTGTTTAAAAAAGGAACATAAGGTGCTGCCTTTTTGTTTGATGGACAGGCAGCACACCAATTTAGAGCTCACTCTAGGAAAATATAAACCCGAAAACTGTAAAAGTGGAAAGCCATTCTTTATGTACCAGGGAGGAGACATATCTCTCTAAGAATACGTCTCCAAAAACTCAAATGAATTCAGGGATGGCTGGAGAAAAAAAACACTCATGGGTAATTTGTAATTACAGAAGTATATAACAGATACTGTATTGCCCATTTGACTTTTACTGGTGGGTTTTTCTCATCTGTTTTTCTTCTGAACTATACTCCCCGATAGTCACCTGAAGGACTGATCACCCAGAGGTTTTCAATCATACTCTTTAAAACTTTGGAGCCATTTTCAAGTAGTGCACTCTAATTACTTTAGCAAAGAAGATAACAACTGTTGGCAAGCACCAAGATGCATTAAATAAGGTAAAAAGAATCAAAATATTTTGTCATGGTGTTTGATGGGTTCTTTTTGTATCAAAACCTCAGCTGCTAGTGTCCTTTACCAGAAAGTAACAAGTACAGAAATATTTCAGGCCTACAAAATATGATATCTTGTTTTGCACTGAATGTTGTGTATATTCCTTAACTTTATAGAGGATGCTAAAGTTGCTTCAGCTAAAAATGAGTAAAAAATTAATCCACTTTGACTCTACATAAGAAACAGTTCTTTGTTGTAAACTTATATATAAAAAGACAACATTCCAAGAAACCCTAAACACTCCACCCCTCCTCATAAAGAGTGACAATAAAAAAGAGCAAAGTCTTTTGGAAGAGAATAATGTGTATATCTGTCAGGAATCAAGGTTCAGTTTCCTATACAAAGCTGTAAGCAATGAACACTGATGCATTTTATGATTCTGTACATCTGTAAGGCTGTCAGCATCCTCCAGGTAAAAAGGGTTTGCTTTGCAAAGATCCTTAACTCTCCTAGGTTGTGGAAGTCAGAAACCCAAAATACCCTGTGCTGCTGCTGCTGCTTCACTGAGTGCTTTGTAATTGTTTCACTATGTCAGCCTGGGGGAAAAATAGTGAAGGAATTCTAAGCAGTTTGGGCAAAAGTATATAAGCTGCAATATTTTCTTCAGTTTTGCTATATACTAATACATTTTTGTTGTGGGGTTTTTTGTGTTAATTTTTTTTTATAATCTTTACTGGTACATATAATCTTATTTGTACTGGCAAAGTGCGATAGTTGTACCTTACACTTAGCAAAGGATATGAAGAATTTACAGTAATAAGTAAACTTTGCTGAACTCATTACAGGTGGAATCAGTAACCCAGAGATGTGTTCTTGGAAAACTATGAGTTATAACACAGAACTGCATTACTCTGGAAGTAGTGCTTGCTGATCTTCATTCACATGCTCTTGACTGTGGCATTGACTTTGGTACCTCAGGGTTGAGAACTGAAATCTCAATTTTATTTTCAGGTAGGAGGCTGAATCTCACTTCTTTCATAGGTATAGGAGGTACCCAGGCTTCCTACTGAAAATTATGACAATAGGAGAGCTAGATTTCTAAGTGAAATAGTCTGAGCTATTAATAGATCACATACAGGATAACTGGCATGACTTTCAGTTTTTACTGTAGACTTTAGTGATACTTAGCTGTCTGTCACCTTTGCAGATTGGAAGTTGGAAAATACAAGTTTTAAGAGTTCTGGAAGTAATACAAATATCTTGGGTTTACATGTCTAAATTCTGCTTAAACCACATTCTCAAAAAAATAGTCTTAAAGAGTAACATGACTATTTTAATATCTTCAACAACAGCAAACAGCTGTTCCATTTTTTTCTGTATAGATACATCTATCTCACTTGGTCTTCATGTAAAGTGACTTTTCTATGAATATGTCAACATTGTTCTTTCAAACTAACTTCAGTAATTCAAAAGAATGCTATACACATTCTTCTTTCAGTATTTTTGTAATTTGTTTATATACATTTATCATTTACCAATACTGAAAAGCAAGACGCTACCTCTGCCCTGAAGACTTTGAAATGGGCAATTGTTGCAAACGGCCTCTGTTGGAAAATACAGCATTTGTCAATGGATATCAGTGACTGTATGGCTCAAGCTCTAAATGAAGTATATATGACTAACATTTTAGTTTTCTCTCATCCATGGAAAATACCTGTAGCAGTAATGTGGAAAAAAAAAAAAAGTAAACACTGCATGGCTGTTTTATCCAGTGTGCTTAATAGTTTATGTTAACCTGTTTCTCAGAAATGTTACATAATTTGAGCAGATGAGACTTTTTTTTTTAATTACACATACCTATTTCAATATAGAATTGAGTATAGAAATCACAAAGGGGTCTCATTGTTTTTAGGGGTCTATTTGTTTAAAAATAGAATATCTTAAAAAAAATGAAGAGCTCATCACTTCCAAAGTCTTGAGAAAGCAAACTTCAAGATGCTATGCTCAACTCCCTTTGTCTTTTCAACTTGGTAGTACTTGAAAAAAAAAAAAATATATATAGAGAGAGAAATTTTTCTTTGTTTACTCTGCATTATTCTATAGTTGTATAAATTCTTACTGAACTTTTTTGTTATCCTTGGTTCTTTTTTCTTCAGTGTTAAATTATCTAGTGGTTTTGCATGTTATTTGACAGCTACTGCCTTCTGTCCTTAAGACACTGTGTTTTATTTGCAAGCTAAAACTCTTCTTGGAATTTCTGCAACCTGGGAGGCAATGACTAATACACAACTCTTTCGCCACACTTGATCTTGTGAAATGTGTCATGGAACTTATCAATTATTTCCAGATACTATATATACACATCAACACTAAACATAAAAATACCCCTTGCTAAGAAAATATATGTCACATATGCTTGAAATAAATTGTTTACAAGAGGCAGAGAGAAACCTTATTTCAGGTGATGCAAACACAGGGTTTTATCAGGAAAATCTCTCCTTTGGGTATATGGTTTGGGCTTTTTGTGGTGAAGAGAAAAAACCTTTAATCATGTGATTGTCATCTGGTATTTAGCTGCTTACAGACAGGGATTATGTCAGAGACTGCACCCATTCTGTCAAGCTCACATGGCAAGCACTACTGTAATGCATCCTGAAATATGGCACCATAGCATGGTTTTCATCTAATAATTCTCAAGAAGGGAAATATACTTTGCTGTTCAGGAACTTTCTGTTACTAAGAAACAATGCCAAATAGAGCCTGCATAAAATTTACAAATTTAATTTCATAACTGGGTACAGTTTATCTATTTTTCAGCTATTTTTTAGCTATTTATCCATTTTTTAGCTATTTTGCCCATAACGATGAAATAGGTCTAGGTTGCTACTTCACCTATGGAATTATTCTGCTCTGTACTTCTCTGAAACGTTGTGAAATGGTCAGACAAAACACGTCTCCCAGGAAGTTGCTGAGAGAATAGCAAAAGCAGTTAGCTAACAAACAAACAAAATACTTAATCTTGAAAAGGAGGCAACTGTAAGGATTGTTAAATGCTACTCAATGTAAATTATTTAAATGATGGGAACATGGGAAATGGGTATATTTCAAGTGGACTAGCTGTTTGAGCATGAGTAATTCTGAAATGGCCAATGTGAAACAAGAATGCATCTTGAGACAAACCTGTCATACAGTTATTCTAAAGGAGTTGTCATTGTCAAGAGCAATCCAACACAAATTTGATCAAAAAAAGAGCAGTGATTGAAAAAAAAAACCCTAAGTAATGGGTTTTTTCTTTTCTTCATTCATGATACTCGTGTCTCAAGGATAAAAAAACCCAGAAAATATTTAAGAAAAGTCTATCATTTTTATATTGATTTTCATGAGGTTTCAACTACTTATCATTGCCATTTTAACCTTTTTTAAGTTTTACTACCTGCCCTCCACCTTTAAAATGCTCTCCCAATTCTGTTTCATACTCTAAATACATGTTAGTTCGAATTCCTTTACTGACATCCCATTTGTCACCTGTTTCAACACCACTTGTAATACTCAGAGAAAGCATATTCTTATGAGGGAAATTTCAGACAGAAGACAAATGCTTTTCCATTTTCAGGCCCAATTTCGAGGTGAACACCCTCCAAAATGCTCAGACTCTAGGGGACTTTTTCTACCACAGCACAGCTTTCCGACCTTTTACTGAGTTGTTGTGGTTTTTTGAGTGTTGTTGTTGTTGTTTGTTTTTGTTTGTGTTTTTTAGATTTTGTTTGTTTGTTTGTTTTTGTAAAATCAGACATGTTTGAGTAGCATGTACTTTTGAGAGGTTTATATACTCCCTGTGTAGGTTTCCTTTCTGCCAGGAGTTTAACAGAAGTGTATCAGAACTTGGTGATGCATTTTTTTGGTCCCGGAGGACGCGAGACTTCCAGCCTTCTGACAAGCTCCATACGATGGCTGCCACGTGCACCTGCATCCGCAACACCACCCGGGCTTCCTCGCTAGTAATTTCGTACGGAGCATCTGACAGCCGGGAAGCAACTCATTTCTGCCCTCTCCTATATTTTAGAGAACTCGTTGTCTTCGATCTCGGGGGTCGTCGTGTAACTCCTTTTATTTCACGCGGGTTCAGGTCGGTGATTTTGCGCTCCCCTGGCAGCCCGAGGAGCAATAAGCAATGCCCTCCCGCTCCGCCCCTGCGCACCTCGCTGCCGCCCCGGGCCCGCCGCGCTCCGCCGCGGGATGGCGGGCCCGGAGGAGGGCAGTGCGGGCTGGTGCGGCCGCCCTTTCCGGCGGGATGACGCGGCCACAGGATGCCGGCGACTGACACCGCGGAAGCGCCTGCGGAGCTGCTCAGGAGCCGGTGAGCGGGGCCCAAGGCTGGCGCTGCCGGGCCCAGCCCGGGGCCCCTTCGGCATGAGCGGCCAGCGGCGCCGGGCGGGCCGGGCGGCGGGCGGAGCGCTGCGCCCCCAGCCCGGGCCCGAGCGATACCGGGCAGGACGGAGCGCGGCGGAAAGGTGAGGCCTCCCCCGACCTCGGTTGTGCGGGCACGGGTAGCCCGCTGTGTGCTGCGCTGAGCCTGGGGCGTCCTTCCCTGAGGAGCGGGGATGGGAGATGGGGTGCGACTCTGCGTCTAAGGCAGCGTGGCCAGCGGGTCGAGCGTGATGGGGGTGATGCTGCCCCTCTGCTCTGCTCAGATCCCGCCTGGAGCACTGCATCCAGCTGCGGGGTGCCCAGCGCAGGAAGGTCATGGACCTGTTGGAGCGAGTCCAGAGAAGAGCCAACAAGTTGACTAGAGGTCTGGAGCACCTCTTCTATAAGGAAAGACTGAGAGAATTGAGTTTGTTGAGCCTGGAGAAGAGAAGGGTTTGGGGTGATCTAATTGCGACCTTCCAGTAGCGGAAGGGAGCCTAAAAGAAAGATGGAGAGGGACTTTTTAAGGTATGTAGTGACAGGACAAGGGGGAATGATTTCAAACTGAAAGAAAGGAGGTTTAGATTAGATATTAGGAAAAAAAATTTACCGTGAGGGTGGTGAGGCCCTGGAACAGGTTGCCCAGAGAAGCTGTAGATTTCCCATCCCTGGAAGTGTTCACTGCCAGACTGGAAGGAGCTCTGAGCAACTTAGTCTAGTGGAAGGTGTCCCTGCCCACAGAAGGGGATTGCAACTAGGTGATATTTAAAGTCCCTTCCAACCCAGGCCATTCTATTGTTGTATGAACTCTAATACTGAGCTTGTGCTATGGGACAGCTTGGTACACAGCAGGGCTCGTGTGCCAAAGGGCAGTAACATCTGTAAACAAAGGTTTGTTGCAGATGGGAGGCATTAACCTGGAGACAGAAATATGTTGCTCAGTTTTAAGGTGTACAGAGTGGATATTAAGATTCTGAGTTCTGAGGTGACCAGCCAAGGTAGCAATGAACTGTCCAGAACATGAATTTAGCAACTGCAAAGCAACCCATAACTTTTTACAGGGGCTATGTGTCAATTTAAGATAAATATCCCTGAAAATCTACTATATTGGCACATCCAAAACCTTTGGAGAGCTTTCTAGAATAGGTTGTAGCAATCATGTCTTGATACCTTGGGCATCATATTGGAAGGCGTAAGGATTGGAAATTTATGAGGTAAGCATAATCCTGGTGCAATGGAAGTTTCATGTTGCACCAGGTACATTTGTAAAAATCCTTGTCTTGCAGGACTGAAACTTGTTTCATTGGAACTTCTTTTAATCCTTAGGTTTTTAGGTGATAGTGCACCTTGAGAGCAGCAGGTGTTCAGTCAGTGCACTAATTCTAGTGTGGGTTGTATTTGAGAAGCTGGTATGGTTTAGCCTTGGTAATAAGCAGAATTGACTTGCCAGTGGGATGAGTTTGAAAATAGCTTGGGAGCTGTCTTATTTTACCAGACTGTTCTGAATTTAGTTGTTGTTTTTGAAAAACTGTGTAGCCTCTGAATCCTTAGAATTACTTATTAGCATTACTATTAAAATATTGTAACTTTCTTAAGACATGTGCTTTTGTTCTGTGAGAGATACTCTTCATGTATTTCTCCATTCTTCAAAGACAGGATAATTTTCAAGGGTGGATGGCAGAACCAACTGGCCTTTCTGCAGCTGCAGAACAGAGTGTTCCCACACAGCTGATGAAGCATAAAAGGGAAGTTGGTGTTGCTTCTGAGGAACTTGGTTCAGCAAATGCGGCTACAGACCAGAGAGAGCAAAGGCCATCGGAAATAAGTAAAGACTGTGTATACAGAAGTAGTGGGAGACCTGAGAAAACAGATATGATTAAATCACTTGTGACAGATCAGGATGAAGGTAGAAACTGTGAACTATACCTACCTACATCTAGTAACTATTCAGCAGTGGAGTCACCTGAGGAGGAAAGGTGAGGATTTTTTTTTTCAATATATTAGCAGTTTTTCTGTAGAAAGGGAGGGGTACTCTCAGTTCATGAAGGTAAATTTCTTGCGAAATTAGTTAATGGCTTAGTGAGATAGGTCTAAATATCACATCTTAAAATATGAAGGCCACCTTCACCTTTCAGATAAATTTTTGTTAATTTTTGTAGTTTATTAGTGGCTTCTTTCCCTATCTAAGGAAATAACTGTGGAGTACTGTGCTTAGTATCTCCTATACCTATTGTTTCTCTTTTAATTAATAATTACTTAGTATTGTTACAGAAGAGATTTTGAGAAGCTAGTTGAGCACTTTACTTGAGTAAAAACTAAACTGTGATTTGATATGACAGCACAGTAGATGAGTTTCCTGGTATTAACCTATATTGGTCTTTATACTAAATGGTTTTTTTGTTCTCAAGGGAAATGTATGCAAGTGATTTGAGTAAGCTGGTTTGCATATAAAGAAACAGAAATACAGAGCCATCATTTAGTAGTGTATCCTTTCAAGTTTAATGAAAGTAATCTAATTACCAACTGTCTGCATGAAACCCTTTCTTGCAGTCTTCTTCTCTTAGTGGTGTAAGGGGATGGGGCAGGGTTACTACCTTAATTTCTTCCTGGTCTTTTACAAGCACACTGTATTTGGGGTTTCTGAGTAGTAGAGCAGAAGCTACTAGTAGTAGTGGGCAATAGATAAAAACCTGGCAGCTTTTTTCTGCACATGTACTTTCTTCAAAATACAGACTTACAATGTAAGTGTTTTGTAGTGGTAAACCTAAATGATACTAATATGTTCGGTGGTGTATATTTTTTTGAAGTATTTTAACTGTGAGACTTCGATTATTTTTTGAAACTTTATTTGCTAGATGTAATTATATGACAAATGACACTCAAAATCGTGTTTAAAGGAATGTGCAATTTACAGTCAGGTTTTTGAACATTACATAAACCTCCTTCCTCAGTAATGTTCACATCCAAGCTCTGAGATCTCTTTGTGTTAATGCTAAGCTATACACAGAAACAGTATTCTTGTAGGCCACCATTTCCTCCCTCATGGTCTTGACTTCAGAATGTCTGCATGTAGGCTCAAATGGAAATATTTGACTCTTAAGGCAACGTACTTTGGCCGAAAAGCCCATATTATTTGAGGTACAGATGTTTGTCTGGATTTCAGCTAGCCTGTATGCTGCAGTTTGAATCATGTTAGAACTACTTCTTTGACTTAGTAACATTCAAACCAGCTGCAGATAGTTGGTTACTTTTAATCATATTCTGTCATGTTCAGCTCACTACTGGATAGGTTGCTCAGTCCCAGTGGTACTCTGTTGAGTAATGGGTTCTTAGTTGCATGCATAGGTTGTGTTACTCATATATGCAGCAAAAAGGCATGTTGACTTTGTCTTTTGCAAGTTCATTTGAGAGCTAATGTTGGTTCTATGAAAATGTGTAAGATGGAAAGCAAATTGAGTTAAAAAAATAATTGTAGAAATACTTCAGTTCTTGCATGACTTGTAAACAGGGGAAAAGTTTGTAAGATTTGTGCTGTTACGTGAGGTATGTGTTGATTTTTATTGCAGTGAGGAGGACATGTATCGTGATGCAGAGGAAATAGAGAGAGAGAAAATACTGCTTCGTGAGGCAAACTCTTCAGGTACAATTGAATGTTGTGTGAAGTGCTACAATTCACTGTAGCACTAATTTGTGATGTTTTGACACCCTCATTTCCAGGGACTTCTGTGCACAGATGTCTGTGTGCAGTAGAAGTTACTTATCATGAGTGATAAGTAACTGAGTACATTGTACAGTTTAATTCACAAAAAGATCAATTTTATGTAAAATTAGTTGCTCTTAGTATATTATTCCTGTGTTTATGTAGTTACTTTACAAGAGAATGTTAATCCTTTGAAAAGCAGTCACAGCCTATATTACAAGTAAGTGTTGTGCTTGAAAATTACTGATTCATAGTCGTCATAGCAGCATCTGTTGCTGGGAGATGCCTTGTTAATCTTAGTGCTATCTGTATTGGAATGAAAGCTGTTGGGATTCCAAGACAAAACTGTATTTCTTCTTTCTACTGTTGTCACTGACTTATTCAGAAAGATCCGTCATCTTTCTGCCTGATAGTCTGGCTGCTTTATGAAGAAGAGAAAGTTTTGTGAAATATTTTTCTGCTTGCTAAGAAAATTAATATTACTTTGCTAATTTCTACAGTATTTGCAGAAGGGAGGACCAGAGTGTTCTTTGTTTTGTTGGAGGCAAAAAGATTGTTTTTCTTCATGTGTAATTTTCAGAGCAAGCTGTTTTTTTTCCCCTCCCATGCTAATAGTTAGTAGCTGTAGGTTGTTCTGCCAGTTTCGTTTGGCAACAATGTTAAAGTGATAGTATATTTAGAAATTTGACACACTTTCTGCTTTGTTCTGTTTTTTGTATAATGTTACATATTCCATTTTGACAGAACATAAACTAAGTGTTTCACCTGAAATGGACATCATGGAGTATTGCAGAAAAGAATGGAGAGGAAACACACCAGTAGCAAAAAGGATGAGAAAGGTAGCAGTTCTATTTTTGTTGAATTTTATTAGGCTTTTTGTTTTCATTTCTATGTTTGCTAGGTGATTTCCTATGGGATCTATCTTTAAGGCAGGAAATGCAGTAGCAATGTTTTACATTGTCAGGTCTTAGACGTGGCTGACAATTGGAAGATGCTTTTTGTACTCACTCCAAATGTTTTTAGTAAGTCTACTTGCTGGTAGTGTAGGGATTTAATTTGTTCTTTACTGTTTTCAGGTAAAGTTTTATATTTTTTTTATTGTCATGAAATGCTATTTTTGTGGACTGTTAAAATGCAGAGCAGATTACCAAATTTTTGGACAGAAAGCAAATAACCAAAGTTGATGAATTGCAGGATTTTTAAGGTGAGGAGCTTTAATGAATTGTCATGGGTTTTCTTAAATTTTTCCTGATATTTTTTTCCCCCCAGTTTTTGAACTAGTTTTCTTATATTAATCTTGAGCTAGAGTAGTAGAAAATAAAGCGAAGTTGTTTTGTTGTTGTTTGAAAATTTAGTGATATATATGAGTAAACATAAAAATACATAAATAAAAAGATGCCACCCTTAAGAGATTACTAAGAAATACAGACACGCAGGGTATTGGCTCTTGCTAGGTTAGCTGGGGAGACATGTTGAGCTTTGGAAGTTCCATTTCAGTGTTGTGGCTTCTGCTAAAACTGTGTGTATGGGAACAGCAGGGAGGGAACAAATGGGCTGAGGCAAGTGTCAAGATATTTCAGTGTAAACACAAATTTTCCCTGAGGCAGAAGCAAGTTACATGTGACATGTATTGGGTAAGTAGCATTAACTATTCCTGATACTTCTTATAAGCATAATATGTGGCCTTGTGTGTGTGTGTGTTTGTATGTTTGATATTTTTGGAAACATAAATGAGTTAGCTACCCATATTTCAATGATGTTCATATTCTGTCATCAAATAAATACTTCAACCAATTATCTACTCAGATTTCTTTAGTTTTTTGTTTGTTTTTCAGCAGAACTAGGGAAGTTGGGGTTTTTCTCCAAAGCGTAATTTGTGACATAAAAGCATTTGAACTTCCAAAATGGGTAGTGGGTCAAATGCTTTTGTTTGAAAATAGCAGTAGTTATTTGGATGCTAATATTCAGGTATCTTTTATGTTACAGTGTGTGACCTTAAGATGTTTTATTAATGCTTTCACATTATTTGGGTTTTGTGTTTTTTAGGGATATGAAGCAGTTGCTCAGAAGTTTGCATCTATAAGAAGAATACGAGGTGATAATTATTGTGCTTTTAGAGCAACTCTTTTCCAGGCATTAAGCCAAGCCACCGAGTTACCAAGCTGGCTGCAGAGTGAGGATTTGACTATGGTATGTCTCAAACTCTGATCTTCTGACAGTAGAGGAATATTTTTTCTTATCTATTTGGTAATTTTATGATCTCATTTCTCCGTTATGCTATATGTACTCACTTTTCAATATCCTTTGAACTGAGAAGTTGTAGTGTTCAATATTGTTGTTTGTGCACAGTGATTCTTTTAACTTGGAATTGAGTCCAGGTCCCCTTAGTTTCCAATTTATAATGTATATAAATGTTACTGTAATATTATATGTATATAAATGTAATAATAATGTATATAAATGTTACAGTGCTGACTGTAACAGAACTTGTCTGTCTTCCTCTTGCCCTCTTGATTTCTTTTTGCCGCATGTAATATGGCAGTAAGAGGTTTTCCACAAGAAAATAACAAAAAATATAGACAATTATTCTAACATTTGAGAAATAAATCCCCAGCTTTTCAAAATTATCATGTGTATTCTTGTGTGCCATATATGGTTTTTCTAGGAAGTGGAATAGCAAATTGGATGCTGTAGGCTTTTCAGAATGTGTGTAATTACCTGTGTCTTAAATGTTACTTAAAATAAGCGTAAGAGCAACTCCAACTTGACATGAAGAACAGTTCATATGGAGCACTGATGTGCAAGCAAAGCAAGGTGTCTTCCTAAGAGCAGAAGAAGAGTATTGCAGAATTTGTCTTGTGCCAACAAAGTCCATTTGGTGATATTGGTGAACATGGAAGAAACATGTGAGAAGCTGCCCACACAAGAGTGACCCACCTCAGAACAGTAAGGTTCCACTTGTCAGGATGCTGCTGAGAATGTAAATGGTGAATGCCTGATGCAGATTCGGTGTGTAGCAGTCCAGATAGAATCACATTGCTCTCACTATTTTTCTGTATAACTTTAGAGGCCATCTTAAAATTTCTCATGGTAGTCTCTATCATTGTTAATTAAACATCTCCTGATATGTTTTTGTAATTACTGATAAAAATAGTTCTATGAATGTTTTACTGCAGCAGTAACTACAGTGCAAAATGGTTTTCTTTTTGTAAAAAAACACATTCTCTCAGCTGACAACCATTTCCACTTTATCAGATTAAAGAACATAGTTTCCCAGTGCTCCATTAAAGAGTATGCAACCTTTCTTTTTAAATGGTGTACTTTGCAGTTTTTAATGATGTTCATCTCTTTTTCTTCCTGCTGGTTCATAGAGGAAAATGTGTCACATGATAATTAATATTTTTTTTAAAGAGGTAAAACTACAAACTGAACTGACTGAAATGATAGATTATTATGCATCAAAGCAGAAAGCATGTAGGAGAAATGTGTGTAGTGACAAGTACAGTATTGTCAGTGTGTAGCTGGCAGTACAAATTTGACAGTTTTTTGGTGTTTTGTTGTTTATAACTTAAAATGGTTTTAACATGCACATTTCTAGTTGTAGAAGTTACTGGCATATTAGTTTTGATTACTTAATTTTATTTGTTCAGTTAACATAGGATGCCAGGCTGGAGGGGGAAGATCTATGTCTATCTGGCACATATTTGGTTGCCATTGAAGAGAACATATTACTGATTTTGAATCCTGATAAAATGAAAACTGGCTGGTAATGACTGATGGCATGTGTGCTGCTCCAGCCAACTGTTTAATTCATTGCAAGACGCAAGGTGCTCTTCCAGTTCCAGTGGTAAAAGGGTTTAATAGATGAGGATAAAAAACTGGATGTGCAACTGCTAGGGTGTCTTTAAAGAGAAGTGTAAAAGCTCTTAACAGGTGTAGCTCATGAGCAGTAAAACAGGCAGTTCTGAGGCTAAAACATGATCTGATGCATCAACTAATTCCCAGGTTATTTTCATCTTTAATAAAAAAACCTGTCACAGAGTGCTTGAATTATGCTCTCTGAAAAGGAATCTGTGTGTCCTGGACAAAGTAGTTTGCAGTCCACCAAGATTTCTGGATTATCTGGTGGACGTCATCTTCTGTTGGTTTAGGGACACTTTCAAACACAGTTATTGTCATCTATCTCCTGGTGGGAGGTTTTTTTAATTAAAAAAAAAAAAAGGCACAAGTAACTTGGTGATTAATTTTTCCAGTGCTTAGATGTTTTGTTGATCTGTAAATAGTAATAGACTAATATTCTGACTGCTACCCAAAAAAAAATAAAGAGACAGTTGTGTTTGGTTATGATCATCTTACTGTGACTTCTGTTCGAAAGAACGTATGAGGGATTGTTTTGAGGTGCAGAAATGTTAGAAAAAAAGTAAAACATGCAAGTTAGTGGCTTTCACTTTCCAGACTTTTGACTTAAGCTCCCTTTTCTTCTCTCAACTTCCAGCTTCCTGAAAACTTGCTGAACAAGTATGACTGGATCAAGCAGTGGCAGCTAAAACAGAAACTGGGCAAGAAGATGGGAGAAATAAGTGATGAAATTAAAGAGTATTTAATACTTCTAAGGAAAAAGGTTGGAAAAGTATTTCTTTTTTCTTGGTAATTTACAAATATAAAAAATGTCAAAGATTTTTGAATGTGGTGAACTTAGCATAAGGATGCTTTCTGTAGTGAAAGTCACTTTTCTGTATGTATGCTGCATAAAAGTCAAGTAAAGAATGTCTGTTCAGATATGTAAGGTGTGTGATCTTTCACTGCAATAGCCAGATGCTGCAAATAACATGCAAGCAGCTCTGCAGAAAACTGTTAGACAGGTTTCAGTGAAGAAATTAATGTATCAGAACAACTTTTTTCCTCTATTATTTCTTATGTTTATTTGAAATAATGGTTATTATACTATGGATAAATCCTGTTGCTATCTAGAGCGGGTCAAAGAAAGAAAAATACAGAACAATGCTGAAGTAATATCAAAGGAGTAGGTTTTTTTCCATTTTTATACACTTTTATTCTAGGTTAGCATCACAGGAACATGGTTGTGCCCTTTCAGTGTTGATTCTGTATTACCTAGCCCCATGCCTTCTCCCTCTAGGAAGTCTGGAACCTATTGAAAAAACTTCAGCTGTTCCTGTCTTACTGTGAATGCATATTCTCTTTTTATGAAGGTTTTTATCAGTATTTTAAAGGCTGCATTCAAGCAGTTTGAGGGCTGGACTGAAATACATATTCTGAGTAACAGAAATATAAAGAATAGGAATTATTGTACGGTCTATGGTAGAGAAGCAAAAAGGCTGTTATCTTACTGTTATGCTTACTGTCCCATGACAATATTTTTTCTGCCACCTTGCAACAATTTCCAGCATACCCTCCTTTTACTTTGCTTAAGGACCAACTAAAACAAAATCAGAATAACTGAGCCTGACCTTGACAAGGCTACAATTGTGGAAATATTCTTGTTCCTTTAAAAAAGGCACAAAGACCTTTGTAAATTAATTTTGAGTGCCTGTACTGGGCATCTGACAAATCACAAGTGGCTTTTTGAAGCTCTTGCACGGTGACGGCTATTGATTTGTTGTATGATGGTTTGTTTGTGTTTTTTTAGTGGAAGAATATAAGTGAAATTAAGGATCCCATTGAAAAACAAGAAGCTTGTGATAAATTGTTTAAAAATGAAGAGGAGGAATACAGTCTCTATGAAGCGCTGAAGTTTCTGATGCTTAACACTGCAATTGAATTATACAATGATGATAAAAATGGAAGAAGAGTGCCTGTCTTCTCCTGGTTACTGTTTGCACGGGATACATCTAGCAACCCTTGTCAGTTAATGCATAATCACTTGAATCATATTGGTCACACTGGAGGCCTTGAACAAGTAAGGAGAGATTGTTCTCATAGTGTTATTTTCCAGTTTTGAACATTTTAGTTTCAAGTCGTTTGAGAAATCACCCAGCTTTTCTTGGTCTGGCTAAGTGGAATGGTGTAGTGTCTGGTCTTTTGTTGGGAACAGTATATTAGAACTGCTTGTTTATAGTGAGGGTTGGTAAAGATCCTCCTTTTAAATGTCTGATGGGTGACAGGTAACATTCTTTGGAAATAGGGTTTTCTGTTGATAGAACACTTGTATTAATCTCTTAAAAAAATTGTTACCTTTTAAAAAATATCATAATAAATGCTAATACTCAGATTATGAAGAGAAGATCACATGTAGCACTTCCATATACGTTGTGAATTCTGATAAGCTAATGACAATTACTGTGTTATACATGGCATAAATGGTATCACAAAAAAAAAACCAAACAAAGTGCAATAGCTAATGAGCTGAATAGTCTGAAATAATTTAGAAACATCCATTTTAAAAAAGCCCCATTAAATACTTTGCAAGTGAGATACTGCACTTAAATTCACTACTTAAATATAGACAGTAGAAGCGTGGAAGTATGTTTTGTTTCTGTTTATTGCCTTAAAAAACTGACAACTATAGTATAGATGGGACAGTTTGGCGCTACTCTTAAATTGGGTGATTCATTGGTGACTTTTTTGCTGCTCAATTTATTCAAGAAGTTATGTCGCCTATTTTTGTGCTGACTAGATTTGTTTATTTCAGCAGCAGTCTTTGTAAATTGTTATTTAGAACAGGGTATGCTTGCCACTGTAGTAGACAAGACAGGAGATTTTTTTTCAGCTTCTTTCTCTGAACTCCCTCTCCTGTCAACAGGTTGTAAGGGCTTCCCATTTTCTTTTTATCTGGCTGGAGAGTTCAGAGTATCCTCTAAGAGTGAAAGGATGGTTGCCTGAAACCTGCTCTTACCTGGTTTAGTGAATTAACTGGATGAATACTGATACAGGACAATGTCTTTCCTACTTGTTTGTGGTGGAATGGAGGTTGAATTCTCTGTGTAAAGTAGCTTTCTTTAGGATTAATATCCTGCTATGCCTCTGTGGGTCTGAAGAGCTTCATGTAAAGTGCATATTATCGTAGAGATAGACTATTGAGATACTAGAGATGCATTCTCACTTCATAATTTTTTCTTTGAAAAATTACATCTGATAGGTATTACTTTTGTAGTTTTATGAGAAAAATCTTGTAAAAAGTATGTTTAATTTTACACATATATTTACTTTTTTGCAATGTAGGTGGAAATGTTTCTTCTTGCTTATGCTCTGCAGTATACCATCCAGGTGTATCGGCTCTATAAATATAGCACTGATGAATTCATCACACTTTATCCCAATGACCCGGAGGAGGATTGGCCTGTGGTGACTCTCATAACCGAAGATGACAGACATTATAATATTCCAGTCAGAATGTGCCAAGAGACGATGCTGTAAACAAGTGATTTTTGGCAGACAAATCTGTGCTGCTTATTGAGTTTTCCCGGGCTGTATTGAAATGGGACAATGACAAAATCCACACTATTAAATCTACAACAACTTGAAATCTGTGCTTTGGAAGTTGACATCTGAAATGGAATATCAAACAGGTATTATCTTAAATAGTAAAAGTTTCGCAAGCATGGTTTTTGTTGTCCATTTAGAAAAAGAAAAAGGAAAAGAAACTTCTGTAGTTTTTGTTTGTTTGTGTTTGGGGGTTTGTTTGGTTGGTTGGTTGGTTTTTTTTGTTTCTTTGAAGGGCTTACTCTGAATAGGATTGCAAAAACGATACATTCATTTCTTTTAAGAAGGATAGTGAGGGTCTGGGGTAAGAAAGTAAGGTGGCAGAGTCCTGGCTGATATTTTTAATGGTGCTTAGAAGCAATTATACAAATCTTGGATCTTGGGAAGTAATATAATTCTTTTGCAGTTGGAGTTTAATGCCTGACACGATTTATGCTATAAGAGAGATGTTACTTAAAGTTTTCTAATGCTTTGGTTTTATTTTTTCTACATGAGCATCTCATATTTAGAAGCCAATTGTCTGTTACACTGAACATGAGTGTAACAGACAACCCCTGGAGAGGATCATGGCAAATGTAATAAAGGAGTATAAAAGTTGATTGATAGTGGGTCACAAATGGAAAAACTACACAGAATTTCTGCTTAAGTTGTGATAGCTGATAGGAGATAACCAGATACCTGTCAACTTCCATGTCTGTTCACATTATTGTTCCAGTAATGTTAAACCTCACTGGCAGCTGCTGTGGAGAACATGAGGGTTTTGGTTTGTCCAGGGAGTGCAGTAGATGGAAATAAACTTCTAATGCAGCTTACTTCACCCAGGAGTGGAGATGTGGGAGGTTCTGTTTCTGCTTACAATTATTCATTATGCTTTAAATTGAAAGAATACAGCATGTATCAGATGCTGGGAGTGCTAAAAAAAAAAAAAAAACCACCTTTAAAAATCATTAAATAATGAAACATTCAGCTCTTAGTTTACTAAGTGGAAATATGCCCTACAGATGACTCTTGAAACAAGAGAGTGAAAGCTGATTTAACTGAAATGCTGGTCATAGACAGTTCACTTGGCTTCTCTTAGAAGGCCTTCTTATATAAACAGGATAAGGTGATAAAAACTGTTCATTTGAATAATCTGGAGGAGATGGCATGCAAAAGATTTCTGCTTTGTTCTACAGGAAATTAATTTAACTATTGTGAAAGGTAATTACACAATTTAGAATGTATATTCACTATGTCCTAAAATGTGTTTTATACACAAGCTAATGAGGTTTATCATGTACTCGGTGTTATATTTGTCATGTTGTCTTTACCTTTTAAAACAACTAGTTTGTTACTGAACATTTCTGGGAGCTACAAGGGAATAAAAATAAACTTAATAAATTAATCTGGCAATATTTTGTTTCTGTTTTATGGCCTGTTCTCTGTCTTGCTTTATATTTTTGATGTTTTGATTTTGAAATCCATGTTCAAGTTAGTTTGTTCTTGAACGCTGCAAAGCATTACCTATGTAAAAGAAGTAATTAATTATTGGCTTTGCTGCTTGTACATGGGCAGCAAAAACAAATCATTCCCTGAATTGCTGTTATCCAAAAAAAGCTGAAGAGGAAAGACAAATTAGCTTTTGCAACTCACTTAACCCTGATAAAAAAGTTGTAGTTACCATTTAAATAACTGAAATTATCTAATTGTGATATATTCTTGAGATTAAAACTTATCACCTCTTTAGAAAAGGCCACATTTTCACACATTTAGGGCAGTGGCTCTGAGAATATGATGACAAAAGCTCCAAAGCAGAGGCTTTTTAGAGGCCAAGTGTGCAGCCATTAGGTATGAAAACAATTCACATCACTGGCGTGTATCTTGAACTCAGAAGGCAGGACAGGGTACAAGGTACTTTAGTCACATATTGTTTGTATTTTTCACTAAGAACTGTTGTTGTCTACGCAAAGCTTTTGTTTTGTCTTTACTCTGTTTCTTAGTAAGAAACATGAAGTTAATGAATGCTTAGCCTTCAGCTTCCTTTCTCTTCGTGGAAGAGTACAGCAGAAGTTCTTTCTGTGATGGAAAAGAGAAGTTGCATTGCTGTACCATGTGGGAATATTTGGCTGTGGGTAGAGAGATGTGCTGAAGTGGTGCTGCAGCAGCAATTTAGCGAAGCTCAGACTGGGTATGGCTCTGAGAAACCTGATAGGGTGTTTTGTGGGATCTTACCCCAGGACCTGGTGTGTTTGTTTCAGGACAGTGACTTTATTCAGATAGTTGAGTCAAAGCTTGACCAAATCTTGGCCAAGTTTATTTTTGTGTGACAGCAACAGCCCTCTCATCAAAAACTAGTGAAGGAGGGTGGAGAGCAAAGTGGGAACTTTTGTCTCACCCGAATGGTGGACATGGTCATACATCCCTTTGTAGGCGTTAAGTGGTGATAAGAAACTTTTGCTTTGGACATCAAGTGCAGGGCTCTTTGTCATCTCATGCCCCTCCTATATAATAGTGTCAGTTGTGAAGCCCCTGCACTTTATTTACTTTGCCCAATTTGCCCCTTTTTGTAACTGTGGGGTTTGAGGTGGTGTTTTTAAACACCTACCCACCAGGTCTTTGACATGATACATTGCCTTTGGGCTGCTGCAGCAGTAGCTGCTGCCGGGGCTGTAGTAGCTGGCCTCTGCACATGCTCTTCAGTGTCAAGCTCTCCCCCACTCCCCGTGTGCCGCCAGGTGTCACTGCAGGCCAGGGGACAGCACGCAGGGACACCTCAGGCTCCCTGCTGCCCAGCTGGCGGTACCCGGAGCCCTTCCTTCCCCTCCCTCCCCTCCCAGGGCACAGCGAGGGCATCTGCTGACTTGCCTGGCGCTCCGACAAACGCAAGGCGCAGTGATGGGACATAAACACCCAGTCGTGCTCAGGAAGTACAGTGTGACTGAAATGCTTTTTGCTTTGGGACCACGGTTTAGCAGCTTTACCTTTATAGACCTGCATGACACAATTAAAATTAATTGTGCATAGGCAGATGAAAGGTGTTTTAAAAATGTGCGGAGCACTGTGAAATGAAGGGGTAAGAAATCTGAGAATTTTCATTCCTTTACATTTTATCGTCTTTTTGAATATCAAGAAGTTCACCTCTTTTATACTTTGATAAAGAATCTGCTGGGAGGGGTTGAGATTTGTAGCAGATCCTCTCCTTGGTTGCTGAAGTATCTGGTCTTGGTTTGTATTCATTCAAACCCTCAGGTGATGTATTGAAGTATTTGAGTCTTCACAGCCAGAATAATTCTGTAAAAGTTAGAATCTGAGTCATGCTCATGAATTCTGAGCAGTGTTTCTAGGATAATTTACTCTCTCTTCACAAACAAAAGGCTATATAGTGTCAAAAATGATGTATGATGAGAAGTGGTGAGGTTGGATTCTCAGATTGTCCAAGAGTAAATAACTTTTAAAATGTACAAACCTGTTGGTTTCCAGACATTTGCAGGTGCACAAAACATAATATATTTTTACTGTCCTTATTACAGAGTGGAAAAAACCAAAATCCAACCATAGGTGTTTATAAAGATTTAATGTGCCTAGAAAAACAGAATAAACATGATAGTAACCTTCTATTACTGCCTATACTATTGTTACTGAATTGCTGAGATGACAAAAATAATTTTTATCTGGAAGACATATTCAGTCTTCACAGTGCATCAGTAAACTACAGGATGAAACTATAATAGACTATATATTTAGAGATGGACCACTTGCTGGACTGTTACTGTCTTCATGCTTCTGAATGTTTTCTGCATCATAAGATTTTTTTTTTTTTTTTTGTTTTGCATGAAATGTAAGAGAAATAATCATTTATGTTGAGCAAGGAGGACGTACAGAATGGGCCATAAACCTGCAAAGTGTGGCCATTTCCAGAGCCCCCTTCTTTGAATGGATTTTTTTTCAGAAGTGCAAACATTTTGGCCTTTGAGCAAAACACACAGATCTTATGCTTTAAACAAAGAGTGGTTCTGCAGAGCTGAAAGTAAGAGCTTGAGTGAGAGTCTGCTTCTTGCCCCTTCTAGGCAGGTTTCTCTCTTGCTGCCAAGGTTCAACTGCTGTGTCAGGGTGTAATGAACTGCATCGTGAGTGCACTTGCATTTTGGAGGATTGTATTCCTTTCAGGCAACCAGCAAGAAACAGTTAAGAAAAGTTTCTGTTCTATCACCTGAGGATATCTTTTGAATTTATGGTGTTGGGGGATGGGGGCGGGCAGAAGAATCAATAACATTTCTTCTCTGGGCTCTTGTCATGCTGCTTGGCTAACAGGGTTGAAAACAAAGAGGGAAGGGAGGTTTTGCAACTAAACCAGCAGGAAACCCACCAAACTTCAGGGAGTTTACAGTTTATTTCCCCTGTGTTAAATAGCACTTGCACAGGGGCAGGCCAAGCTGCCTCCTTCTGTGAGCCTCAGACCCTCATCTTCCACTCAGGCCCCCTAAGATCATCCCCAGCAAACACCCAGCTGGAGCATCACTGGCCTCCTGCACCTCCTGCAGGTATTACGACACGGGACTGGCACACGGCACTTATATATTAGCTTTTAGTATCTAATATTAATGCTACTTTTAGACAATCAAGTGGTTCCGTGGTGTTCATTTACTGATGAGCCCTCTTTAGAGCTCTCTTCAGTCAGATGTTCTGGGTTTTGGCTCATCAAACCATGTTACAAATATAAAACCTCTTTTAATTACAAAAAATAGCCTTTTTAGAGGCAGTAGGTGAGAAAGAAAAATAGGTTGAAGCAATGCTTAGGGCTGTTTAAAGCAAATCTGTGATAGCTCCCACAATCAACCAGTTTGTAAGACTCCCAGATGAAAAGCCTAGGTCCCCCCATCACCCCATCCCATGGAAGCTCATGTAAAACAACAACATGGAAAATTTGAAGGAAATAACAATGTGAAATTTCCTTTGAGGAGCCAGGATAGAAGGTGTAAGATCTGCAGTTGTGAAGGTAGTTCTGTTGCACTGCAGGGACTGTGTTAACCTCAGTGGGGCTTGCCACCAAAACACCTGATTCTT